AGCCAGATGGACCTAGAAGGCCCCTGCACCCTTGGCCCAAAACCCCAGAGGGACAGCAGGGCCCTGTGTGACCCCCGGCAGCCCCTCCGGCCCCACTCAGGCCTCTGCGCCCATCCTCCTAGGCGGCCTAGGCTCCCTCCCCATCCATTAAAACGCCACACTCCTTGCCCCCGTCTGTCCCATCACATCTTCTGCCCCCCACGATCGCTCGTTTCTTGTTTTTGCTGGGGTCATCCCTCCCTCCTGTACGGTGAGTCCCAAGCTCCCGGAGCTGTCGCTGGCCTCTTGTCCACACGCGGCAGACTCTCCAAGGGCCTCCCGTCTCCTCTCACCCGGGCTTCAGCTGACCCCACAGGCCTGGGTGCAGGGACCCACCAGGGCCCTCGAGTCAGACGCCCCCGCCCCCAGGCCCCGCTGGGCCGAACCCGGAGCAGGATGAGGCCCTGGCACCACCTGGCAGGGAGCTCGGAGACCCACAGACAGCGGCTGTCGGGACACCCTTGAGGTCGGGAGGCATCAGGGCCTCAGGAGGAAATGCTGGGCGAACATTGCACAGAAAAGAACGAACAGGGACACGCTGTCTCACGCTGGGCCCACGGGATCCAATGGGTCTTCCCAAGGACCCTCCTGTCTCTGCACTGTCGGTGCGAGTGACGGCCCATGGCTGCCAGATGAGGGCTTGAGGCAACACATGCATCCTCTCCCAGTCTGAGGCCTGAGCCCGAGGTCAGAGTGCTGCAGGGCTGGCTCCCTCTGAGGCTCTGGGGGACCTTCCCAGGACCCCTCTGCCCCCCCGTGGCGGCTGGTGGGTCCTGGGCGGTCTGTGGCGCGTCGATGCGTCGCCCACCTCTGCAGCCGTCCCCTGGGGCTCCTCCCCGGCCACCCTCTCCTGTCTCTTTGGCAGACACCAGGGATCTGGATCTGGACCCGCCCTGGCCCAGGATGACTCGTCTGAGTCTTGACATCTGCAAAGACCCCATTTCCAAATAAATCCACCTCCACAGGTACTGCGGGTAAGGGCTTGAGCCGTCTTCTGGGAACACTGTTCAGCCCCTGAGGGTTCCGGTGCGTGACCTTGGAGGAGTCGGTCCCCTCCAGCTCCCCATATCTCACCTGCAGCCAAGGGTGACATGTCCAGCCTCTCTGGGCCATGGAGAACCCAGGACCTGTCAGCGCAACAGAGACGCCAAGGGGGACGCCCTCCAGGTCCCAGGCTGCTGCCTGATGCAGACACAGGCCCTGTGACTCACACCTGCACTCAAGAGTCACCCGCGCCTCAGGAAGCAATGCAGGCAGAAGCCTTAGAGGTGGCACCGGGAGGGGAGCGGCCATCACCCTCCCTGCCCGGGTCCTCCCCCACTGAGATGCTGGCGGCCAGGGTGGCCAGGCTGGCCCTCCTCTCCTGAGACATCTGGCTCAGCCTCCTGCATCAGGGAAGCCAGCGCTGCCAGGTGCCCCCAACCCTCCACAGTCAGCACCCGTCCAACGGTGAGGGAGGGGGCATGGGGCTCCTGGGGGCAGAATGGAAAGCCATCTGAAGGCGCCAAAGCCCTCCCCCCATCTCCCCGGGGTCTGTCCCGTGCCCTGGGACTCAGGGGAGCCAGGGTTCCCCCACCCCTGCTGCCACTCCCTTCCACTGGGACGGGTCCCCTCAACCCAGAGCAAACTGTGAGCCGGGGAGCAGAAGTTGGGCAGGTGCTCTCCTGGGCGTGGATTCAGGGGCGGAGGGAAGCCCGCCGTCCCTCCCAGACCCAGGGCATCCCTTGCTCTGCACCCAGGATCTCTCCTCCACCGCTGTCCCCAGGACTCCCCTGAGCCCAGGCTTCATGGGAGACCCTCCCTTCTCCTGGGGCTGGACTCGGTGGATGAGTGTGCCCTGGTGGGGACGCAGCCTGCGGCCTCAGGGACCTTGGCGCCCAGCATTGCTCGGGCACGCCCTCGCGTCCGCCTGCCTGTGACCCTGTCCCCGTCCCGACTCTCATTCCTGACTGCCTGGCTCCCTGGGTTCTGCCAGCTTTGGCCACATGGATTTTAGGGTGCTGCAAACACCCTGGGGCTTTGCCTCCTAGGAAGGTGAGCCCCAGGGCCTGGCTCCCCCACACAGCGAGTGGCCCACCCAGGTGGTTGCCCTTTCTCCTTTTAGTCTGGGAAATGTCTAGGGCAGGGCGCGGGCCCCTGGTACGCCCTCTTGGCCTCGTCTCTGATCCCCCTGCCCTGCCCCGCATGTCATCCCGGGCCCCTTCCGGGGCTGCCGTCGGCTGAACAGCGCCCCTGCCCTGCGCTGGAGTCCTAACCCAGCTCAGCTTTACTTGGGAACGGGCAGTGGCAGCTGGGCTAGGGGGAGTCCAGTGTGACCGCTGTCCTTAAAAGGGGGAATAAGAACACGGAGAATAACACAAAGGGGGAATAACACACAGAGGGATGGCCACGTAAGGACACAGTGAGAAGGTGGCATCTACCAGCCATGCGTGAAGCCCCAGGAGGAACCAGCCTTGAGCCCCTAGCCCCCAACTGTGGGGAGCAGAACTCGGTTGCTGAAAGCACCCGTGAGGTGCTTGTGACGCTGCCCAGGAGGCTACACAGAGCCCTTTGGGCTGGGCACCTGCCCACCTGGGGACACCTGCTCACCTGGGGACACCTGCCCTCCCCTCTTGGGGATACCTGCCCATTTGAGGATACCTGCCCACCTGGGACACCTGCCCACCTGGAGATACTGCTCACCTGGGGATACCTGCTTGCTTGGGGACACCTGCCCTTCTGGGAATACCTGCTCACCCGGGGACATCTGCCCACCTGGGACACCTGACCTCTTGGGGATACCTGCCCATTTGGGGGTACCTGCCCACCCGGGGATACCTGCTCACCTGGGGACACCTGCCTACCTGGGACACCTGCCCTCTTGGAGACACCTGCCCACCTAGGGGCATCCTAGAATGTCACCAGAGATGAGCCGAGGGTTACCCCACCTCCCCCCACAGGAAGCGAAGATGGGCTGGTTTCCATCCAGAGCAAAGCTGAGAAGAGCTGCCCCTTTCAACTTTCTTCGCCCGGAGTCAAGTCAGAGACTCGAGACCCTGAGGGTGACACAGGAAGTGCCGGTCCTGGACTACGCGAGTCACAGGCTTCACTAAATTAACCACACATGGGACCCTCTGAGCTCCCAGCAGGCTCCAAGCTCCAGAAAAGGGGGCCCTCACGTGTGGACAGCGAACGCCCATGGCAGGCACATCTGCTCTTCTGACAGCGGGAAACCAAGGCCCTGGGCTGTGGCCTCCCTGGGGACTGGTGCAGAGAAGCAGGGTGTGAAGCCAGGGCTTTCCAGGATGGTCTGCCCGGCCCACTCTATGAGCCCCCAGAGACACCGCCAGACACGTGTGCGGCGCTCGGCCTCGCAGGAGTGTGTGCAGGAAGACCTGCATCTCTGGCCCAGCCGTCCGGGCTGCTCAGGACCGGCTCCAGGACTGGGGCATGGGAGAATCTGAATGGCCCGACCCCTGCCCGGAGGCATGTGGGCGAGGACACCCAAGGTTCGCCAGCTGGACAGAACGGCCACAGGGGGCCCTGTGCACACAGCGCCCTTCCCATCAGGCTTGCTGCAGCCGGAGCACCAGAGGGGGGAACCGGGCCGGCGTGGGGACAGTGCACTGTCACCCAGGAGCAGGGACGCCTGCAGGGCCCCCAGGACCGCGGGGCTAGACTGCAAGATGGCCGGATGGAGTTCCCTCCCACGACTTCATGACCTCTACAGTTTATACAGCAGGTGTGTACTCACCTCCTGCCATCCACAGCACTCCGCAGTTTACACGGGGCTTCACGTGCATTGTGCAGCACTCTACAGTTGCACAGGAATTCACGCCCCACCCTGGGAAGGCGAGTGGCAGCCCCTGGGGCTCCCGCCTGGGATGCCAGGTCACTGGAAGGCTCTGACAGCAGCAGGCCCTGAGTCTATGAGTGTCCCCCGGGACGAGGACACAGGGGACCTGAAGGATCCGCCGAGTGTCCCCTCTGCCCCAGCACCTCCACACAGACTGAAAGTTCTGAGCGCATGCAAATGATCCAGGCCACAGAGCTGCCTGATAAAATCACGTCTCAGAAACAGCTGCGGCTCCTGATTCACACAGAGAACCCGCAGGCCTGGGGGGCTCCCCGTGAGCTGCAGGGCGGGGTGCGCCAGGGGACCCAGGATGGGGCCCAGGCCTGCCGGGAAAGAGGAGAAGCAGGGGTGGAGGAGTGAAAGGCGGAGCGCTGGG